TATGTATAGTAAATCTTTTTTGTGTAACAGATAACATAGTAAACACAACCCTAATTGGGTAATTACCTGTTTTAGAAATATTTTTACTATTCTTTTTTTTGTGTAACCCCAGCAAATTTGAAGCCACCGCAGCAAATTTAGCTATATAAAAAAGTATATTTTTTAAAATAATATAGCCTTTAAAAATTTTACTACTAAAAATAGAAGGTACAATCTATGTTTCACAAAAATTTGGCGAAAATTAATTAGATTCTTAAAAATTTTTATTAGTAGCAAAATTTTACTATCTATATAAGGTCTTGATTTGCCATATATATCATATGAAAAATGATCTACGTATCCTCTACCTTTAAACAACTTTAGTTATTTAATTGCATATCATGCTTGTTGACATGATACATAGTTAAATAATATTAATTTATTAATAAAAGATATAGTTTAACAAACCCTATATAGATTAACACTTTTTGTTAATTATTTAATACCTTTTTAAACTTCCTGATGTAATCACTTTGGTGGCAGTAACTATATTACTTAATAACGTGCCAAGAGTAAAAAATGAGAATAAAAAGAAAAAAAACAAAAAAACAAAAACAAAAAAACTAGAAACAAAAATAAAGAAAAACAATAAAATCACTTAGGGCTCTGATATTTATTACCTAATATTTATTTACTATAGAGCTCTACCCCCACTTCCAGGTAAGGTTTTTGATTAGCCAATCAAATTTTTGTATTATATAGAGGTAAGGTTTGGCTTTACCCTCCACCCCTTAAAACATTATCTAATAAATGTCAGCACCCTTATGCAATAAGTATAATCTAAAGAAACTTTAAAGGCAAGAGTATAATATTTGTTTTATTAAATATAGAAGAATTTAAGAAAAAAATTTTATATCTCAAGAACCTGTTTTGTTTAAGGAAAAAAGACAGAGTTTTTATATCTTTTACAACATATATCAAAAGAATATAAAATAATAAGAAACTATAAGAAATAATAAGAAATAATAAAAAACTACAAGAAACAACAAGAAATAATAAGAAATAATAAAAAATAATAAGAAACTATAAGAAACAATAAGAAATAATAAGAAACATTAATTTAAGTAATATTAAAAAACATTAAAAAACATTAATAAACATTAATAAATATTAAGAAATATTAAGAAACATTAAAAAATATTAAGAAATATCAAGAAATATATAGTAAATCTATTTCTTGATTATCTAGCTAACCAATAGTCTATTCATCATATATTGTAGCTTGTTTTGATTATTATAATCTTCTGTATCTACTAGAGGTAAAATCATTAACATGTTCTATAATACCAACATGTTCTATAACAATACCAATAAACCTAATATAAAAAAAATAAAAAATATACCAATATAACAATACTAATAAAATATAATAATAAATTTATACTACACTACTTATACACTATTCTAAAATCTACTTTATAATATTTTCCTTCTCTTAAGATTTTTATTTTATAAAAATCAAACATAATAGTGACAACAAAACCGAATAATTTTATTAAGCTGGGGTACTGTCATTTTGTCCAGGTTTTTTGAGTACTAATTTATTAATATAGTAGGTTTGATTATACCCAATTTGAGTAAAAAAAAATAGGTATATATTCAAACTTTTATATAGTTTAAATATACTGTATATTTGCTTTTTTAGCTTCCTTCTTATATTGTAACAAACTTTCTAAATAAAAGACAGCCTAGAACTTGATATTTCTTATTATTTTTAATAGCTTTATCATACTTTGCTTTAGTTTGGTTAAAACAGGTAATTCATTTTTCCTTAGTAGTCATAGAAACAGTTACAGAAGTAATTTCATGAGGTACAGTATTTAAAAGATCAATTTTTAACATATCAATTCTACTCATTTAATTAGTAGACATAGATAAAACTGCAGAGATTCAGCAGGTATGGTCAGTGTTCTGTATAATAGTTGTTTCTAATGGTTCACAAATGATAGCACCAGAATATTGTAGTTGAGAATAAAGTTATTGAAGTTCTCTAGCCTTCCAATAGATTTCAGTATTCATCCAGGTTGATTTAGTGAATTGGAAAGTTATTTGTAAGTTGTTTTTTATTAGAGAAGTTGTTGTTAGTATAAAGTAAAGAAAATAAAATTCATATCCTTTAGATATCTTTTGAATTTTTATTTTATGCAAGTTTCTTGATACTTCGTTAAACTCACACTTGTCTTTGGTATTGCTACATGCAAAATTTTGGGTTGCTTGTGTTTTTCTTTGTCTACTACATGGTTTTACTTTTTAGGATTAGAGCTTGGACCCGGATATCTGTTTATCTGTTTAGAGTATCCTTTTTATAAAAGTTGTATCCAAAAAACTACTAACATTTAATTTACAGATAACTGGATAAATCCTATATAACCCTTATGAATAACCAGATAGTCCACGGATATCCGGATAAACCAGTGTCACACCTAGAATTCACCTCTTAAAGAATTCAGGGAACATGCGAGTTATAGTATGAAGACTATAACTAGGGTGAGTTTTGCAATAACATAGGCGTCAGATATATGACTTAACAAGAGGTTTATTTGGACTTGATCGAAAGAGACGGCAACAAATTGTATATGAGGATACAAATAGTCGTATAAATATGTTTATTAATGGGATATTTGATGAGAGTAAGGTCTCTACGTGAGACTAATACAAATACAAAGTCTATATATACATAATCCAATACCTAAGATCTACTATCTAACTTACTAATCTGTATGTCGATACTAAGACTATCTATAAGAATTAGCTATGTCTACGTATGAAAGTTAAGCGAGATTCTATAGAGAAGAATGAGATTTCACAAGATGGAGTGTGAAAAGAGGACTTCCGATGGTTAATCTCGGGATTAGCAAAATCATACATCGGAATCATGCATGAAGAGTCGGATATATGCATGCCGAAGCCAATCTATTCATGAGGTGGAATTTCAATGTAACACCGGATAGCTTCAGGTATCGTGATGACAAAATAGGTAAACCTCATTTTATATTCGAGTTATATTATAGAATGAGTATAACGAATTACTAATTTAGCTTAACTTATTTATGCTAATCAGCTTTTGATGAAAGTACTATGCTAAAGATGTGCTAAAGCCCTGTAATATTATATACAGTATATTTGCCGCTGATTTTAATTTATTCATCTGTTAATAATAACTACAAGCTTTAGCATTACTCGATTAAAATAAATAATGGTTGCACAAAACATGGTATATATCTGGTAAATGATCTAGACACAATGATTCAAAAATGGGCAGTGAAATAAGGATACGGATTGCATAAAGGATTAATTAATCAATGTGTGTGTAAGTATTATTGTATTGAATGAAATCGTTTCATAAGTTATTATTGAGAATTTTTGGCACTAAATTTTTTGTGAATTGGTTGGACAGTATACGAAAGTTAGTCACGGTATTAGATCGGAAAAAGTAAATTATTCCACGTTTCTATATGATCGCATGACGGGTTTGCGCTTATAATCACCACCTTAATCAGTAAAAATCTAGCTTCTAGCAATGCTTGCTTGTTATTTCCCCAGACTTCCGGGGAGATAACAAACATTGCTAGAAACTCATTTTTTTTATTGATCAAAATAGTGATTGAGTCGTAAAGCCAGTCATGACATCATATAAAAACGAAAAATAATACCCTTATCTCGCCGCTATGGGGAAATAACCCGGTAGATCTTCGACCTGCTGGGCCTCCAGATGACAGAGGATTTATCTCTTATTCCCGCCGTTGCGGTGAAATCGATAGTATATCTACCCACGGGTACTCGTGGATATCTGCAGATATCTGTTAGGTTATCCTGGCGGATAAGGGATCCGTGAGACATTTATAGCATCCGAATGCATGGATATGCGGTTGACGGGTCCAAGCTCTATATATAACAGCAATACAATTGTAAAAAATATAAGAATGATTTTTTTTTTTTTTAACATGTAATATTTGCAAATAAATTATGTAATCTACTGTACCTGCTTCACTATTTTAGATGTCATATTGAATAATTTATATTGCACATGTGTAGTATTGTGTAGGTATTTTATCCTCTTTCCTCCGAAAATATGGTAGCCATTCATTTTCTCAATAGTCATTTCTCATACAGGCCATTTACCCGATATCACATAGGGTTAGCATTTGGTTAGTTGTAGATATATATTGTTAGTAAATTGTCACCTGCTAATGTCGGGTAAATGGCCTGTAGGAGAAATGGTCGTCGGGGAGTGGTTTATAACGATTAATGGCTATTAAAAAGTAAATAGGTAGTAATGGGCACCGCGGATTTTTAGATTATACAGTAACATGATTCAATCAACCGGTCTGCATTTGATCAAAATATAGATTACACTTATACACATGTAGCCCAGAGCATTATTCAGGTTGTAATTGTAAATCTGAAATATTTTACAAAATTTATTTTAATCCCGCGTATTATGCAAAGGAAATGCAGGTTGTTCAACTTTGCCTCACGCATCACGCGCGGGACATTGGAGAAATCCCATCACTACAATAGATTAAAGATTGTAAAATATAAAATTAATTTTAAATCTAATCCGTCATTTCATGACGGGTCTAACATCTAGTAATCATATAAAAAATCACAGGTTATTGCAAAGAAAGAAAGAAATCGACAGTAATGCCGATATAATTATGATCGATAAATGATCTCTTAAATCCCGCGGATATAAATATTATTAGTTAATTTTTTATATAAAGAGATTTACAAACTTATTCTATAACGAACAAAAAAATCTCCCGACCAGTTCGTGATAGAAAGAGGTGACCGTATTTTAAAAACACTTAATATATATATGCACATATGATGCATAAATTTAAATTCTTGTAGTCCTTGTAGTTGACAGGTTTTTATAACGGATTAGTTCTAGGTTTATTTTTGAAATTCGTGAATATAATTCTGTATAAAAAATGCCGCTAAATTTCATGTCGTTATAATCAGTGTGGCAATAATCGATCAAAAGGTTTAAATTGAATAAAAAAAGGTAGGATTTTAAAAGTAGGGTTTGAAGATGGCATATTATTTGATGAATTGGCAAGGCTACAAGTATGTATCAAAGGAAACTATTAAAATCCTGAAAATTTTTAATCACTATTTAAGGCAACACACGCATTTCATACTTACGTACCGAACCCCTCTTTTCTTATCCATCTTCCATTTAATATTCTGGCAGTTCTAGCGTTTGTCTTTGTACGTTGACCTCTAACAGGATAACCCATAGCATGTCTTTTCCCTTTGTAAGTACCGATTGATCTATGATGCATGATATTATTTATTACTTCTCTCTTTAAGTCAGTTTCTATTTTCATATTGGATAATTCCATAGAAATTTGTTGAATTTGCGATTCTGACAATTCATGAAGTTTGCACGTTTTATGAATTGAAAATTTACTACAAATTCGTTGGGCCGTTTTATGACCTATGCCGTAAAAATAAGTTAATGCTACCTGTTTTAATATAAAAGAGAAATTTTAGGATCAATATTTACGAATCTTGACAAATAAATAAATGATAGCTACCCTAACAATTTTATTTTCAGGCAAATTAACACCGAGAAGATGAAGCACCATCGTTACGAAGGTGAATACAAATGTACGTATGTGTGTATGTTTTTATAACTGATAACGATAACTGATAAACTAATAGATGCACGGCTATCCCTGTGTTACATCTGCGGAATATAAATAGGCCGTTATCGAATAGATCAATTCTGAATGAACTATTTACCACTTTCTTCGCCTGATTCAAAAAGAATCCTTTTCACATTAGATAGAAAAGGATCAATTGACCAACTATTATCATCTAATCCCACTTTGAAATTGCAATATGAAGATTATGCAAGCAAATTATCTCAGTCTATCAAAATTATGGAACAAGATGGTGTAGCACCTATATTACCTGACGGTAAAACAGGTGGTAACGCTTGTTGTATCTTAGAACTTCCATTTTCAAACAATAAGTCTCTATTAGTTTCAAAATCTGGAAAATTTTCGAATTTTCCACTTCTTACAACTGATGTTTGTTTTATTCATTCTTTCGATTTACAAAATTGGTCCTGTGAATTTTCTTCAAGTTTTGAAGACATTAAACCATCGTCCGATACACATTGTATTGGGCTTGCTTAATTTTTGCACCTGAAAAATTTCAATGGAAATTGAAACCTAGTTTTGCGATGCATGGTCATGCTTCGGCTAATGATCGGGATTGTGTGAAATGGAATATACCAGTTAGTGATAAAGAAACAAGATTTTCTACGAGAGAGGATGTTCAAGAGATGCTAAATTTATTAGAAAAATGGCCATATCCTGAATATAAAGTTTTTCTTAGAAAAAAACATGGTGAAGTAATTTTGTTTTGGATACTGTATAAATGATTCGAAATATTACTGTATTTATGGATATTTTGTTAATATGAAGGTTTTTTTATACTCGGCCAAAATGCGCAAGAGGTTTTTGAAATTTATGAGAACCAAGTAAAGACAAAATTTACAGAAATCATTAATTCTGAGGTATTTATTATTTATAAAATGTTTATATGCTTGTTCCTTTGGTCATTTAATGATTTATAATGTTTCTTTTCGAGAAGTAAATACTCGGTACCTGAGGTAATAGTAACACTTTAAACAGCAACATCCATGCAATGTGCGCAAAAGGTAATTCTTACTTAGATAACGGAATGATATACCGAAATTGTAGAAAACCACCATTTTTATGCTTCACCTACGTGTTGAGTTTATTATTATTATTATTATAATTGATTGGAATTCAAATATTTAACATTGGATCAGAAATATTAGTTTATCAATAAATATTGCAAATTCGTTTTCGTTTATTGTTGAATGTATCATATCGATTTATATTTTAAAAATTTGGCGTAATTTAGATTTGAATAAAATTTTAGCTGACGTTTTTAAGTATCACAAAATGTTGAAATTTGGTTTGATTGATTATAAAACTTCGTCACACTACAGGATATATACTGTCGCGGATGATGCAGAATTAGCTGTTGACGAGTATAGACTTTCAGCATCATATATTCAAAATAGAGACACCAAAATTTTCAATTATTGATCTTGTCGGCCAATAAAATATTTCTCAATCTTCATTAGCTAATCGTATTGGGGACATAATGTAAGTCATATAGTAAATTCTAATAATAAGGATCTAATATATATTTATATAATTGATTTTTTTTTTTTTTTATATTGCCAACGGTAGAAACTTTATTAGTCATGATAAACGCCTTACAGAACAATTGTATATACAGTTTCTAATTACATTTGTGCTATTATTACTAGTCACCCAATGTGGCATTATACTCCTTAATTTCCCTAT